TGCGTGGATCCGCGCGGATATATGACGTCAGGATGGCGCAATTTGTTCTAAAAATAGAAAAATTGTCCCATATCATAGGTGCGCGTGGATCCCAAGGCTTACGGTCTCCGTCCCCGATTATGGCTCCTGGTAACACATAAACTGCACTCGGCTCTTAGCCAGTCAGAATTGAGTGATTTTTTATGTGTTTTATTAGTTGAAATACCCTTTGCACTGTTGTCATGAAAAATTAAAGACCGCAGCTTTAAAGTGAAAAAAAAAAAAAAAAAAAAAACATGATTAACGTATAAAGCCATTTTTTTTCAAAATCATTTGACAACGCCCATGGGGCCGCGATCGTCTATTTTATTAGTTCATTCACCACTGACTTTGTGTTAAGATATAGTTTTTACATGTAAAAATTATACCCTCTAAACTCTTCCGATAAATTAAAGCGCAGGTTCTTTCCCTGGATTGATAAATCAAGTAATTAAGTTCTAAGACACTAGACCAGAAATTAAACGAATCCGTCTTGAAACTCTAACTTAAAACGAACGCAATTAAAGCGCAAAGGCAAAAGCTTTCAAGGTACACCTCATATTTCTTGTCCTTCACATTACTTCAAGATGATATTTTCAGCCTCTTCTTTTTTCCGGTGGAGCTGTTATTATTCGCAATTCTCAGCATGCATATTACTGTAATTTATTCTTAGGCATCTGTTCGTTTCTCGTGTGATCCTGATAATGATTTTGGACGATGACTTCGCGGCATCGCCTTATATACGGTACATCAATCACCTGTCTTAAGGGCTTCGAAACCTCAAGGATAAATTGCCACCTGCTGGCCGATAAAAGGACAAAACTAACTATTTGCATTCAGTAATTGCCACTTCGAAAAACATTGACGCAAACGAATTTGAATATATTGTTTTCCAAAATCATCTCACATGGTAGTTTGGAGTTAGATTTGAGCGGTCTAAGGAGAGAAGATTACCCACTTGTAAAGCTTGGCTAGTGTCAAGAATGATCGACTGAAAAACTCTCCCAAGGCAAAGAATAGCAGAGTCTATGAATCGAACAAAGATTAGTCACTTAAAGTGCCACTCGAAACTCGTAACGATATGCATATCTCTGGTTAGATGTAGTAGACAACATATCTCTTTTTTTGTCTCTCTTTCTTTTTGCGATTTTGATCTACAATCTAATTTAATACTCTGCCTTAGTAGGAATCTGACATGCAAGGGTTGGTAATTGCTCCTTTGGCAAGTGTTTATTTTGATCGTAACTGTAGCAACAACCGGCCTGAAGATGTTGGAAAAGAGATTCATTTGCCGGTGGATAGCGTATCATTTATTTTCAGTAAACAAATAGTGGGTCAGAATACACCACCAATATATGGTTTGTGTTTTGTGGCAGTTATTTAGTTTGCAAAAGAGTTAATTTGTTTTCGCGTTTTTCGTCGATTTGCAGGTGCTGACATTTGCAAGTGCCAAGTGCTAACTAGTTTCTTTACGGGGGTAGGCAGAGGTAAAATTCAATTACAAGAAAACTGTTAAAAAGATGAGCTGCATTTTCTGCTATAATGGTACAAGTTGGTACAAGTTTGATCAAAAATGAAGTTTAGCTCATTGAACTAAGGTAAAATTTTTGAAAAACTGTTCTGTCTTCCTAATAAGAAAGAGTTTGATAAATTACCTCCTCCCTCCCCTCCTTAGGTAGACTTTATCGTCTGTGTCTGCCATACCATGTGGTCGGCGGAAAATGATTGGCGCGGATAATTCAGGACAGTTTAGAGGATTCTTGAAAGTTGACAGCGAGGAAATTTCAATTTCTTTGTTGCATTTTACAATCATTTTCTACGGGTTCTCTTCGATTCGTCGATGGAACAACAGACTGTGAGTTCTTTGCCAGCGGAGGTGGCTTCGACGGCAAATGGAACGACAGAAATCGTGCCGAATTCATGTGAACACGAACCGGTAAGTAAGCTCAAGTTTGGCGGTCTGGTCTGCTGACTTTCTGCGGTTCAGCTGCCCTCGTATCTTTGACAGTTGGTTAATTATCAGCATCGATGTATTCCATAGAAAACCAGTATCCAGCCCAATTTATATACGTCTAATAATTTTGAACTAGAGTTGTTGATTGTTGTCACAAAATCGCGAATGGAAATCAGCCTTTTCGCTGGAAATTAGCAAAGTTTCCGCCTACGCGTGTTTGGGATGTTGTGGACTGACGATCTTGAGGTTACCAGTGAAAGAAAATAAAACTTTGTTCCAAATTAGCAATTCATAACGGACGACAAAGGCTTAGAGTTAAGTTCAGTAAATTGTTGTGAAATACTGATGATTTTATTTTGACGCATTCGGATTACACAAAAATGTTTTGATGGGAGAAGAAATTGTGACAAGCGCTCTGCGATCGTTCACTGCAGTACGTAAATTAGCTCGTGGGAATCTGTTCACTATTTTTGGAGGAATAACAAACTTGCAATTGTTAGTTTCAAAGGTATTTGTTCGAAGGATGCGCAGAGTTTTCTTTATCTGTGCACTGGGGGGACGTTTCCGCCTTCACGTTCCTATGTTTATTCACAGCCTAATCGCTTTCATTCGCGCGTTCTCCGGGCACTCCACGCCAAATTTAGGAAAAGCTTCCAGCAAATCTCGCCTATCGTATTTCACAGTGAGAACGCTTTTCTAAATAGACTAAACTATCGTTTATATTTACACCCGGCGAATGGTGAGATCGCGATTAATCGCCGTGGCGTATATTTTGTTTCTTCTGATAAGCTTCCTCCTGTCCGCTGGCGAAATTGTACTGACCAGCGCAATTATCGTGCATTCGATCTGCTGTGAAAAGGTATCTCTCGATGAAATCGCTTGAGAGAGGCAGCTTGCCTTTATTGGATTCTACGAGACAAGTATCAAATGTCTGACAGCTTAAGTTTTGAAGTAAAAATAAAATCTTGATTAATAAAAGAAGTATTCATTACCCAGACACTATCTATTGTCGGTAGTGAAGACGCCTTGTTGAAAGTGCACGGGAAACTCTTTTGTTTAGTCATTTCTACCCTCGAGTTAACCTTAAAAGTGAATGGAACCTGTTCCAGAATTTATCTGCAAAGTTTGTGGAAGCACAATGTTACCACACGAAGCATATCAGGTTTGAAATCGCGAACATTCTCATACAGGGCTAGAAAACAAAGCACTTTATTTAGAGGTACAGACAGTATTGGCTGATTAATGCAGAATGTTTGTATTTGAAGACAGAATTTAAACACACTGATAAATGATTCAACTCTTAAAAACAGCTTAGATATATTGAGATCAGGCTTGTGTTCATTTAGTGAGTGATATTAGGTACAGAACTTCCAGGTTAAGTGTTGATAAAATATTTCTCATTATTTTAAGGGTTTTTGGAAAGATAAGATACTTAAACATTTTGAAATTCAACACTTGCAAGATGGCCATAATCATCTTGTGAGGTCAAAGTTGACGGAACCGTGTCCCAATAGTCATCAATATCTTGATAATTTCTTGAAAAAAATCCAGTTACCAATTTGCATTACTTATGGAGAACATAAGGAGAATTTGTGTTTGTTCCATGATTCATTGAGTGCTCTGCACAGCCCCCATCAAAAATGTTGTTGAGTTGAGTTAAGTTGATAACTTTATATACGTGGTAAAAATTCAAATTCCTTCAGCATAATTTACATGTAAAAGTGAGCATAATTTCCTCGATTCTTCAATGGGGAATCATTTTTGCTCCTGATGTGCTGGCAGGTGGCAATTTTGCAGCATACAATAAGCTATTTACACTTCACATTGGAGTTCACTTATACTGTATCACAACCATTAGAAATACATCACTGGCATTCTTTTTACTGGCAGAGATGTATACTACAAAACATTTTGACATGGTTGCTATACAATGGTGATATTTACGTGACAAATAAATGATGATGATGATGACAGGATAGATGATAATATATATGATTGATGATGGTTGATTATGTTGGACTTACAAGGCTTGTGTACAACAGAAAATGTTCTGAGACAGAAGAGAGGGTAATAATTATTGCTGTTTCTTATTTGCTGGGGCTGGGTACCAGCTAAAGTGTTATGCAAGCAAAAGTGCAGAATGGGTCTTGTTGGCTGGAGACTGCAGGGCTTGAAAAAAGTGTCGCCTGGTCATCCAGGGCAAGTAGATTTTACTGCTAGGTAAGAAACTTTTCTTTCTCACTTGCCCGATGGGCAAGGGCCTAGGAAAGTGGTCCACCAACTAAACATAAAAAAATGTCACCCAAGACATGCCCAGGGCAAGCAAAATTTGAGAGCTTCTTGTCTGAAGGGTAAGTTGGAATTCAAGATTTTTCTTGAGCATTGAGAAAAAATTTAGTTAAGTAAATTTATTACTGGCAATCTAAAGAAATTCTGAGTATGCAAAGGTCAAAAAATTCACAGCAAGAGAAACAAGAAATAACAAGTTAACTACAAGCACTACATACACTGTATATATGTGATAGCAGATAGTGTATTTTAAACAAAATTCAGGAAAAAATTCCAAACGCTTAGGACTACCTTCTTTGCTTTGTGCTTCTCAAACTTACAGATGTTTATTACCATTCTTCCCCCCTCCTTCCCCAGGCCTGTAGATTTTCTACCCTTTCTTTGTGCTTTGTAATAAAATTAAACCATTGCTGGCAAAAGTGTCATTTGTGGCAAGAGTTTATTTTTTAAATAAAACAGTTGTTATGAAAAACAGAAACCCTTGCCTGAAATTGTTAACAGACTGAGTATGACAATGTGATATGTTTTACCAAAGTTTGTGAAATTTTCCATGTTACATGTGATGTTATGCATTGTGCTTAGTTTTTGAATGATTTTAAAGCTGTGTAAATCTTTGGACTTTTTACTTTTATTTGTAATCCAGTAATGGTCATATCATGTAGATTTGTATCTAATGAACATAAAAATAGTATTGGGTTATAAATATTTTAGTTTGGAATGAGGCTTTCCATTATTCTAAGAAGTAAATAAATTGTTGTTTGCTTCAGGTCTAACATACTAATGTGCAGTAATCATTGTTGTCAGTCATGCTATTATACAGTAAATAACCATGATCATGTTTTGTGTTGGTATTGAGTGTTTGGTCTGTTATTTCTCACTGCAGGAACATTATTGATCATGTTTTTTTATTAAAATTTCGTACAAAAATGTTATCACAAAACCACAGAAAGAAAAACTAATCAGCTTGTATGAGAAATAAGATCTTTTTGAAGATGGAAAACACAGGTGTAAGTTAATGTTACAGTGATCAGGTGATGATTTTCATCTTGGCTTTTAGTAGAGTTCTATCAAAGGTTGAAGTTTTCACACTTTGCTTTCTGTAATTTGGATTGTGGGTCTGTTTCTCAGATGATCTGCCACACATCTGTGCTCTTTGGTGTTTATGTATTCGTTCTCTGATTGGCCTGATTGCTAATTTGAGGTGAATTTAGTAATGAGCGTGGAACTTATAATTGTGTCTCATTTTGTTCCCATTAATAAAAAGCAGCACACTCCATTTACGCTCAGTGTCATTCTTAATAAAACCGATTTACTACAGAACACCATGGACTTCTATGGCATTTACGTAAGTCTTGTTAGATATTTAATTTAAATAGCTGAAGTGTACTTGAATCTTGATTTTTGAGTTATTCAATATAGTGGGATGACATTGTATGGAGCTGTGCAAGATAACCTTGCATTTTCTACATTTTTTCAACATATGCCTTAGGGATTGATCTTAAAACTTTCTCTATAACCATACGATTTTTGATGTGAATAACTATTAATAGTTAGTGTAACCCTCGGATGAATATGCATCAAATGTGAGTGAAGAAATGCGAAAACTTTTCGTCCTCAAATTTATTAATTTTGTATGTGGTTCAGGTTGAAGAAACAATATATTGTGAACACAATAAGATGTGGAATTTGTCAATGATGGCTAATTAAATTTCCATGTTTTTTTGGCAAATGAAAATGGTTGAGGTGCTTTAGAAGCATAACAAAAATATTAAATTTCAAAATGTGTGTTTTTTTTTTTATTCTTTTGTGAAATAAATGCAATCGAGAATGCAATAAGCAGCTTTGATTCAGTATACAGTGCTTACAATGTACATGGTGAATGTTATGAAATATTCATTTATTTTGTTCATTACAATTTCTTTTATTCCATTTTGTCAGATAATTTTGTTGAAAACTTTAATTTAAAACTGCAAGCATATTACATTGTAGTGTTTCCAATTCTGTGGGGAAAAAACAGTCAATAGCTCATGATAACTTACAATTTTATTTTAATTAATATGTGATGAAAAAATGTTTTTTAATGGATGTTTCTCTGTTTGTTTTTAACTTGGATTTCAGACAAAGGGTATTTTTGTAACGTGCTAATCCAATAAACATTCGCCAAACAGACTTTCTTGTGTAAATTTAAAGAGTGTCCTTGTTGGAGTCATGTCAAGAAAGATCATTTTACATGTAGATTAGTGCCCCTTCCTCCTCCAGAGATGACAACCTAAAAACAAATTGAAACCTGGAAGACCACCAGTCCTCCATTAAAATGCTGTTAAAATTAGAGCTTTGCCAAGAACAGAATGGGGCAGAAACAAAATGTATTATAAAGCAATAACCGATTGGACCTCACTGCCAAGTGAGCTAAAGAAACTTATACCAAAAAGGATTTTTAAATACAAACTGAAACAGTTTTTACTTAACCATTTTTGACCTTAGTTAGCAGTAGATTTTTAATCCTAGTTCTAGTTTTAAACTTAAGTTTTAGTATCACGTTTTTAGCTTTTATTACTTTTGTATTTTAGACGTTTAATATATATTCGAGACTTTTTTTTTTCAGAGGAGCCTCCTGAAAACCGCCCCTAGGTGATTGGAGGCCTCCTCTTAAAACATTAGTTTACTATTATTATTTTAAAAGTGCATCAAATATGCCAAAATTTCCCCCCAAAAATGCCAAAAATTGACAGAAATAATTGTGAAAATCATGTAGCATTTTCTTTCATGTCTGGGAGATTGCTGGTGACCCATATGATGGGAGACTGGGAGATTCATTCTGAATCTAGGAGACTCCCAGTTAATCTGGGAGATGTTCCTCTCATGAATACGTTCCCCTAGGTACCCTCCATATTCTCTTACCTCTCCCTTGCAGGTGCTTTGTAAATTAAATACAGTACATGTATATAAGTGCATATTATGATGCTGACCTGAATGTGAAAGGTAGAGGTCTAATAATAAAAATGATGTTATATCACTTTTTGAGATACCCCATTGTACAGGTTCACAATTGAAAGTTTCACAAATGCAAAAAAAAGCTAGTAACTTACTTTCAAGACTATTTCTGCTTAAATTATTTTGTGTGTAACAGATTTAAGTATTATGGGTGAGATCATAACCAATGGGAAATTAAAATGCTTTACATGTAGCCAGACAGCGTACATGTATGAATACCGTCTAAATGAAAGGAATCAGAGCTATTGGTACATAAGTTTGGAATTACTGTTAGTGTGATAAATATTGTGCTGCCATGAAATTAATACAAGTTTGCTTCATAATTTAAAAGAAAATTACTATTTGTGCTTCTCAATAGCTGGTTAAATTAATGCCATGAAGTTCATATTTAACACAAATTTATCAGTGTCTTAAAAAGTGCCTACATGTACTTTTATAGACATTTTAAATACAGTTCATTAACAACATGTAAAATAGGTTGCTAAATCTTCTTTATTTACTTGCATTCTAAGTTTAAATTGTTTTATAAAAGTTTAAGAGTTTTATAAAGCTTACCAGAAGCTAAGTCTGAAAATATCAGTACAAGTTGTTTTTTCCTGTGTATTTTGTATTTTGCCGGATTCATTGACCTTTGAAGCAAATGATTTTAAACACAAAAACTGAGATTGATGATATAAATTCTCCCAACATGCTGGCCACACTACCTTTGGTTATGTGCGGAGAGTTTGTATAATTATATTCTTTCCATTATCAAGTCCATGTTGTAAATGTTTACTTTTCTCTGTTGCATGGTTGACCCAATCATCTGCAATTTACTTATTTCAACCAGTTAGGTAATGACCTGTTGTTTTCATTTAATTACTCTGGATTTAGAGCTTGATAATAGCTATGTTTTAAGGCGAGACCTTTGTAGGAAGACATTGAGGTGAAAATGGTCTGTTAATGAACCTTAAATCTTAGAGTGCTTTGCAGCTGGTAGGGCAGTGGTGCTGAATTATTCATACATTGTGTAGAAACTAAGAATTAGACTGTTTGAAAGCCATCTAAACTACATATACATGCAGGGGTCACAGCGGAAACTAAGGATTTACATAATGGAGGTAAAGTTGTCTAACTTAAAGTTGAACATCTTTGTGGTCTTGTAGATTCAGTTGGTAAGCGAGATATTGGCTATGGTTGTGTTTGCATCGATAATGTAGCCCATTCAGAGTTAGATTTAGTGCATCCCTGTGTTCAAACTATTTCATCTTGAATCTGCTAAATACCTCTAGACTTTGTAGAGGTCAGAATGAAGTAAACTTGGTGATCTTCGCTTGGTAGTGTCAAGTTTTAAGCCAAAATGGGGCAAAATTGATTTTTGAAATTCTCCATATTCTCATTATCATGTAAAATACCCTTGAACAAGTGCTGTATTTTATCTGGCAAAATTGTGTTTTAGTTCAATGTTTCTGTTAAGTTAAAGACTTGACAAGATGTTTTTTTTTTAATCCAATCCTGCCAGGATGTTAATATAACACAGTCTGTTCATTCAGTCAGTCTGTAACTTTCACATCAAAATACACTAGTAAACAGAAGAAAATATAATTTCATTGTGTCCTAACTTATGTTTCAATAGAAAGAAACTACATTCATTGTCCCTGGTGCAGCAGCGTATAATAATGTTATTTCTCTGTAGTCACAGTCTTAAAGATCACAGTATGTGGTTCTGTGTTTTCATTTAGTTTAATAGTTAAGAGTAATAGCAAATAATTTTCACCAAACAAAATACCAAGGCAGGGTCTTTGGCTAATTGTGTCAATCAGGTTAATTAATGTAAATCTAGTGATATGTGTTTTCAAGTCAAAACTAACTTGGGGGCAGGTTGTTTCAGGTTCTGGTGCCATACTCGTAAATTATTAATATCAATAAGTAAGGGTTTGTTCTTCCCTCAGAAGGCTACAATTAGCAAATTAATTATTTAGTGAGGTTGCACACTTTTCAATGAAGAGTTTCTATGAAGTCACCAATTTTAACATTTTGTTTAACATTTTATTTGATTTTTTTCTATCATAGAATGAAAAGAAAATTGGTAATTTATTTTAATTAATAAAAGAAATAGAAAAGTTAAGTTTCTTAAAGTGCCACTGAAACGAAATTTTCGTACTCTCTTTTATTATCCCAATCTATAGTTTCAAACGTGCTTAAAGTAATGGTGAACTTTATTTCTGNAAGCAGTTTTCGCTTACCGTATGCGAAAAAAAAGTTCGCAATGTTTCCAAGTAAGGTTGAAACTATTACTAAGCAAACATCTCACATACAAAAATTTCGTTTCAGTGGCACTTTAACAGGCCTCTGTTTTTGTGAATTAAATTTTATAGATAGTACACTGACTGAAAACTTTTAATAATTATCTCCTAGTCCTATTCTGTCTGGAAGGGGGCAGAAAGTTCCCCTATATGCAGATTCTAAATTTAACTTAGTGCTTAAAAGTGCTCAAAGATTAAAGGCCAAAATTTAAGACTTTTCCTAATACCCATTAGGAAACAAAGCTGATACATGTCATTTTATTTTTGGTTGTATGTCTTGATGTTTCTTGGCAACCTTGTTTTTGAAGGGTATTTTACCGAACTTTGTTCATAGGTGTTTTGTTTAGTTTTTAGTTTTTATAAGCTTTTGGTTTTTTAAAATTGTTGCAGCTGTTGCATCGCATTTTGTTTTTGTTCTTTCAAATCCAGGAGTTTCATTAAGGGCCAGGCACCAGGCAAATTGACCGGCTGTGAGGTTAAGTTTGTCCACCTGGTTTGACCATCCAGAGGAAAGTTTTTCTCATAAAGAAGTTCAGTTCAAAAAATTTTGCCCGCCTGTGAAAAGCAGATTCCCTCCAGCTGAAAACATTAATGAAACCCCTGCAAATCAGTTTTGAAATCCAAGATGGTGGTCCTTTGAAATGAAGGCCAGTTTTTTAGCTTGTTGTGTAATAATTATCATATTCAGATATTCAGATACTTAGGTTACTGTATGTTCACACTTGGTGCCCAAGTACAATTCATTCTGGGTACTAATGTGAACACACCTTTTTCCAAGTACTCACATCAGAAATCAGGTACAGTGCCTGTGCCCAGGGAAAAGGTCTCGACCTTGTACTCAGGCACTAAATGGTCAGAGTACACTGTGTCTGAACGCAACACTCTTTTTGCAGGTTCCCAGGCACCAGTGCTTGGGCGCCAAGAGTTAACACAGCCTTACTTGATAAACCATTTAAGGTTTGGAGCCAGTTAAATGTTTCTTATATGTTTCATTTCAACAGGTCAGCAATGGTGTTCAGTACACTCAACCGCTCGCCGTTCAACCCTACACAGAGGTGGCTGTTCCCCCATCCATCGACACAACACAGCAGTTGCAGCAGTTGCAGACACAAACCCACCAGCTTCAGCCATCTGAAGTTCTGATTCAGAATGGTGACACAGGACCAAAGAGACTGCACGTCACCAATATCCCTTTTAGATTTAGAGATCATGATCTAGTTCAAATGTTTGGGGTTTGTACTCATTTGTTGGCTCTGTTATTTAGAAAATACTAAAATTTGCCATGCATTTACATGTACATACTACATGGGACCCTTTCAAGTGGTATACCTGTCAGTCAAATAACCCATGAGTTGCTTTTATTTTCTTGTTATGCACACCAGCCTTAAGCAGAATGTGTTTAGGGGAGTGGGGGTATCCCATGGGAAACCACAAGAAATTGTTGTGTAACTATTTTATACTGCCGTAACATAGAAGATATAGTGGCCAATACAAGCAATGGAGCTCGAGATGGGAAGGTTGGGTGTAATATCATCAAGTATACACATAGGCCTTCATGTATTCTGATTGGCTGTATTTTCTATGGCATAGTATCAGATAAGAACGGTGCCTGATTGGTTCAAATTGATATACATTTAGTTGGTTAGAGCATATAACACAATGTTTCCAAATTTCCTTGTGTTGTATTTGTGCAAGAAAAACTTTCACTGCAGTGTATTTTCTTCTATGAGATGTGTCACAAATGGATACCAACTAATAATTGTGAGGCCCTCCTAATATAATGTCAGGTGATAACCTTTCATAGACTAGTATCCCAACCTCAAATATTACTACTGTTAGTAACTGTATTTCAGTGGAAAGCAGCATTAGTACATGTATAGGGCAACTTTGCCCAAATGAGGACTATTTTACAAAATACCATAAAATACTGAACTTACAGACTTCTGACTAATAGTCCTTTATTTCTTATTTCCTCTATCTGTCAGTCATGCAAACAAACATTTTGATCTTTTCACAGCAATTTGGTACTCTGGCGGACTGTGAAATAATCTACAATGAACGAGGATCAAAGGTATCTATCTAATTTACACTGGCGCTAATGCTACTGTCTTTATCAGACAGTATAAAAATGCAGCATAGGTAGTGAGTATGTTGGTCTTTTTTCAGGCCTCATTTTCTTCAATCCTGGGCTAAGTTGAGGGCAATCTACATTATAATAATATTAATTACAGTGTTGGTAGAGATTATTTGTAGGAAAAATTAAATGCATTTTGACTATACTTTATTGTCTTTAATCCTAATCTTGTGGCCTCAGGACGTTTTTATATGAATTGAAGCAAAGCGGTCAACTGAAATATTACATCAAGATCCAGAAAATATTCTTACCCTTCCTGCAAAGGATTTATTGGTTAGAACCCCAACCCAAACTGCTCTGGAAAATTCATGTTTTCTTTTTAAATGTTCAGTATTGAGACCCCCCCTTCCCAATAACCATCCTTGACGTGGGTATACAGATATTTTTTAGAACTAATACAGTTGTCATGAAAATAAAGAAATGTTAAATAGAGAAATAAATGTTAAATAGATAAACAATATTTATTTTGTAGGGATTTGGTTTTGTCACATTTGCAAATTCTGCGGATGCAATGAAAGCTCGGGAAAAGCTGAATGGCACCATTGTGGATGGAAGAAAGATAGAGGTTTGACATGATCTTCTTGTTGTATAGCTAGTCGCTAGGTGGTTTGCATTTCGCTTTAATTTACTTCTTTTCATCAGTTCACAGCTTACCGCATCTTCACTGTGAGTATTCATCATACATATTCCAATTAGATTAACCTTTTCACTCTGAGGGTCAAACTTCAAGTCAAAATATCTTATTCACAAAAGCTACCTTGAATTGATGTTAGGCATATCATAAAGTGAATTAGCCATGCACATGGTCTTCCATTCGACAAATACTACAAAGAAGCAAGTTGCAGAAAATTATCTCATGGCTCTATTTCAGTATCTGTCTGAGAATCAGATGATTTGCACAAGCCATTTGTATTTTACAAAAGCATAAAATAGAATTCACATATATATTACCTAAAGCATACAAGACTACTGACAAATTAATGCTATCTATATACAATCATGTACAAACAAACTGGTTGAAATTTCCAGGGTGCAATATAAGGCCTGAGAGTATTTGTCTGATTCTTACTTTTGACTTTGTGGATAAAGCAAAACATGAGACCATTCAAAGGAAAACTATTGAACACTGCTTTTATGACAAAGTGTTGTTGGTAAAATAGGGATTTGAATTTATTTCAGATTTGAACTTGGTGACTCTGAGGAGTGAAAAGGTTAAAATAGGAAATGCTAAAACATAACACTAACACATTTTATTCCTGCATGTATTGCATGATTTCACATTGACACTGATAATTTTTCACTTAGGTAAACAATGCAACCCCTCGACCGCACGCCAAAAAAAGTCCGGGCCAAAATCGAGGACCCTATACCAATGGTACAGCATGCTTTGTTCCCCTTGTCGTTTCGTTGATCTGTAGTGGCATGTACTGTGTGTAAGAGAATGCATGTGTCCTCCAGTATGGAGTACTGAATTGGCAGATAAGTATTCGTATCCAGCATAGTGATCAATGCTACAAAACATGTTTGTGACATAAAATGGATTGTCTTGTTTCTAATATTATCTTTGATATTGTTGTTCACTTTTTAATAAAAGAGCAAAGGATCAAATAAAACACTAACAAAAATATTTCAAGTGGTAAATAGGCTTCAATCCTTTCATAAAATAATTAGAAATAAGTTATAAATATTACAAATTTGTATGCTTTTCTGCAAATTTTAAGATGAAAACTGTGAACTCTGTGATATTGAAATTTTTGTTTTTTAATTTAGTATTTATAACTGAAATTTCTCTCTAAGTTTTAGTTGAAGTATTTGACTACTTTTTCAGAAGCTGAATGACACTTTCATTGTTTAGTGTGATGGTTCTCTTTTTTCCTGTAACAAGTTTACCATTAAAATGAAAAATTTTACACTCCTTCAAAATATAGTTGATAATTATCGTTTTCAGTTGTTGGCTTGTAAAACAAAGAAAATCAGGATTGTACTTTTTTTGCAATACTAAATTGATAACTAAGGGGCTGAGGATATAAGAACTGTAAACTGTAAGTGATTGAGGGGATATTTTTGCATATCTTTCAGTGCTGTTTATAAAACACTAGCAGAAAACATCTTAAAACCACTTGATAAAATTTGAGTAAAGGACTGCTCAGCAATATGAACCTTCATTCTCATAGACAAAACATGTCATTGTCCTTCCTTCCTTCCTGGCTAACAACATACATAGAAAATTGACCATAGTAAACGACTATGTTTTTCAGGTACCTCATTCCGTGGCATGAGAGGAGTTCGTCGGGCTTCTCCTGTGAACAAGTTTAGTACAAGGACTATTCAACCTCCGCAAGTGTCAGCATACGATGGCACCTATAGTGGGTGAGCAGTTGTTTCACACTCTGATCAAAATGTAATTTCTGTATACAATATTGGTCTATTGTCAAACAAATAAGTGATGAGAATTTGGATGACCATCAACAGCAAGGTTGATATCCAATAGCTCAGTCTAATGGCTAGTAGAAAAAGAAAATCTTGATCTAAGGAAAGAAATGATGGCAGATTTTGAACTTGGAATTGAGTCAGTCAGCTGTTTGCAAAGGCTATCATCCCTCTGGATTGGCGAATCTTGTTATCACTTCTAGATGTCATTACCAACTTGTGTACAGATTCACTATACAAGGTGTCCTTTGCATTTAGTCAAAAAATAGACCATGCCAACCTGACTTGTTATGCCAAGTCTGATAATATTTAGCTGATCAAACTTTGCTTTAAACAGTTCACTTAAACATTGAAATACCTCAAAAGAAATACCTCCTTCAATATTCAACTTAATTATAATTATACATTTCCACAGCTACTAAATGGTACAGTTGCAATCGATTTAACATCCCTATTTGTTTGGGAAATGGGGTGGTGGAACCCCATCAGTGAGAGCAGCTTTCTACCATTGTGGCCTGGGTTCGATTACAATACCCAGTATCCTAAATATGAATTATTACATTTTCATTTTTGATATTTACATATCATTTTCCATAATTTACTGCTTTTAATGCTCAGATAACAAATATTCTAGCATAATCGTAGATCACCTTTTGCCATCTGTGTTTATTATTTGTTTTTTTTTATTTCATTTTGTTTTTTGTTTGTTTGTTTGTTGTTGTTTTTTTTTTGCGGTAGTTATGACGGATATGATCAGACCTATGGAGCCAGGAGAATAGGAAGTTTTACAGGGTAAGAAAAAAGTGGATTGTGAAATGTTTTTGTTTCAATGGTGTTATTTCATTTATGGTGTCCTTATCCTGTTCTGTTTTAACTTGCATGATGATTATCTGTGTTCCTCAACAGGTATGAAGCAGCACCCTATGGTGGTGGATATGGCCCGGTAAATAAATTGTTGTTATTGTTGTTTACACTACCCACCTATTTTACCACATCATAATTAATTTTATGTGATTGTGAGCTGATATAATCCTATGAACTTGATATCTTTGAAAACCACTGTTGTTAGGTTCATTATGATCTTGGACTGTTTTCTAGTGTTTGAAATTAGTGGGGAGCAGGGATGGCGCAGTGGCGAGAACGCTCACCTCCCTCCATTGTGGCCCAGGTTCAACTCTGGCCCGTTGCCATGCGTGGGATGAGTTTGTTGTTGGTTCTTGCCTTGCTCCGAGGGTTTTTCTCTGGGTTCTCAAGTTTTCCTCCCTCCACAAAAACCAACATGTCTAAATTCCAATTCGACCAGGACAGAGGACCCGCGTGGAAACCAGCAAAGGCTGATGTGGCTTCCTCTCTAAATGTTGCAACTTCAATTTAGTGGTCATCTAAAAATTGATGAAATTTGCCTTAAACAATCCTTCATTGATATTCCATTGTTACCTTCTTCGTAGGCAAACACATACGCGGCTCCATCGCCCGCGTACCGTCCAGCGGCACCGCCCCAGGCCCCACCGACAAGTTACAGCACAGGCTACAGATACGCACCGTATTAGTCACGTGACAATCACCAGAGCAACAAGACATTCGGACAATACACCATTGCACAATATCATCCACAACGTAGTCACAAATCATGGATTGCTGGTTCTTTGTGATTCTCAAAGAACCCTTCGTTCGTCAAGTGTATAGGTCATTGTCAATCTTGTAAATAGTAGAAATTAACGATTTCTAGAGATCGACGGTCTCGGGATAGGAAACATTCACTCATCTTAGAAAGCAGCAGGCCAACGTCCTATTTGAGGCTTGATTTGATAAAGAAAGAGAGATCCTAAGACTTTTTACAGTGAGATGCTTCAAACCGTGAATACTTGGTAATGATTTTAATCTTTTCTAGAACTGTAATGTGGTTGTAATTTCTTAGTGTGAATGAAAGCATAAATTGTGACCATTCGAATGACAGAGATTACAGGCAGTGCGTAGTACCTTTATGTACAGCTGTTTGTTTTTCAATTTTTCGCAATACAAATTTAACAAGTTGTCAAATTTGTACTTTGTGGAAAGTAAACAGAAAATTAGTTTTGACATCTTTTCGTTGGGTTTCTGTTTTGTTTGGCCAATCAGAAACCAGGATCGTCTCAGGAGTCGGAGACTTAAATTGCACCTGCACAATTACTAGCTCTTTGATTGGCTGAGACGTTTGACAGGTGCACGTGCAGTAACTGAATGTTTCATCAGCTGAGAGTTTTGGGAAGCCAACGGTAAGATGTCAAAAAGTAATCAAACCTTTTACCGAGTGGCAATGGTTACCTTAAAAAATGTTAGTCTTTCTACAGAATGGTGGTAGCTTCAAGTTAATCTCAGTTAGCCTTCACTGAGAACGGGTGGTCGGGTGGAGCAGAGCGCAAGCGCGGGACACGAGAGCGAAGCGCAAAGGCGAGCGCGCTTCGTGCTTTACCCCGCTATACCTCCCGTTCTCCTCCCGACTTGAAGTTTGCTCTTTGCCTGAGATGATTAAACACATTCAACAAGTTTCGAATGTTGTCAATAAGATTAAAGTAATGGCCTCTACTACTTGTTCTAATAAAAGTGTAAATTATACTTAGGCTGTAGACACAAGAGAGAGCCTTATGTAGGGTTTCTCTTGATCTTATGATAAAAAAATGTATTTAAATTTGTTGTTTATTGATGGCTTTGTTGTTCATTGAGTGATGGCTTCTACTACACATTTTATAGGATTTGTATTATGTACCCGGTTGCTAACTTACAAACCTGTGATGGGACATTAAAAGGCACCTTATGCGTAGTTCAATTCCACCTGTTACCATCCTCCCCCGGACATACCCCCGGGGATTTAACTTTTTTTTTTCTTATTCGGCGGCCTATTCCCCGTCCCCGGGTAGGGAAAAGGAGACAATTCCCCGCCCCCGGGACTCCTATCTACCTCAACCATGTCTGTATGTGTACGAAAAAGGGTGCAAATATTGGTTGCTGAACAATAGCGTGAACGGCCTTTTCTGTCAAGAACGCAACGATTTTAATACATTAAAACTGCAATTTGTATTAAATAAACTTACTTTCAAATATGAGCTTTTATTTGGGAAGATTTTGTTGCCCTAGCCAAGCCGAAACAAACTTTATCGGCTTTCCAACAAATTTGCTCACACCCAGCAAGCGGTGGGTCACCATTGCGTTTGATATAAAACCACGTTGCGGAAACAATTTTTTTTTATTTGCCCCGCCCCCTAGCGGCCTAGCCCCAGGACAAGACCGCCTTCAACAATTCCCCACCCCCAGACACGAAGGGCTGGACTTTTCCAGAGGGTTGCTCGGGGTGGTGGGGGGNTGTATTAAATAAACTTACTTTCAAATATGAGCTTTTATTTGGGAAGATTTTGTTGCCCTAGCCAAGCCGAGAGATAACAGGTGGAAATGAATCATGCATCACAGTCGAGCAGCTTTGAATATCAATACAAAAGTGATGACGATAATGAAAATAATCAACTGAGTGAAATTGTCGTGATGTACCACCAAATTCTCACAACTGATATTAAAAGCAATGTGTGGCAAACATTAAGGAGAATAAACAAGAAAATGAAACAGTAACGCTAAAAGTGCCGACTAAGCTCCGATTTTTCAAGTTCGTTGTTTGTAATCCGTGTTAATCTTCTCCATCCTTATCCGTCCTTGTTTATGGTTTATCATTTTTTCTTTGGTGTTTTTCTGTCTTAGTTAACTTTCATTTTCAGGTTTCCTCCAATTTAAAGGTAATTTGTACGTGGCCAACATAACTCAAAGTACCGTGACTGAGCTCCTTTAAGCACTGAGTTCTGCTGTTTTCTTCTTAGCATAACCCACTGACCGACCACTGATTAAACGAGCAATGTGATTGGCTACACGATGGCCTTGAAACAATCACTAGACAGGATCTGCATGGTCAATATTAACCTCGTGTCTATTTGAAGCTTCTGAAATGACAATATGAGCTATGCTATAGATCTGTCAGATGGCTAGAGAAAAGCTTAGTAACAAGGTGGCTACAAGAGATTCTTGGCCGTGATTGAATGTTACCCCTTCCCCCCCCCCCCTCCCAACCATTTTGACTCATTACCGTTGAGTCCTAGCGAAAGGGAGTAGTGTTTAAAAAATATAAACTTACGTCGAGACTTGCGTTGGGTGGTACGTTGTCACAAAACAAGGTTTCAATCTTAGTGGGCGCGCTCAATTCAATTCAGTGCTCGAGGTATGACGAAAAAGTGAACATCACTGCTCAAGAACGTAAATGTTAGGGGTGCACGAGCCAATTTGTAAGAATTCGTACAGGACCATCAACGCCACGAAGCAGCAAACAAATATGAATTTTTGAAACTTTTTCAAGTTACGAACAAATTTATCTCTGTTCCTTTTTCCCAGCAGAAATGCCTGAACTTTTACACTCTTGCAGATTTACTTTTCGAAATTTCCCAGCCTGCAGACACAAAACCTGAATTTACACACACTTAGCAAACTTGGACGGCTTGTTGGCTGGGGGTGGTGGAGGGGGGAAAGGGGAATTCAAGGAATCAAACATATTTTGGCAAGTCCACCCCATGCCCTACTGCTAGCTTGATGGTGCGAGTCCCCTAGGTTTCTCGATCAGCCGGCAAGAACTCGGCCGGAAAATAGATATTTCAAGGAAAACGGAAAGGTAAGAGAGTTTTAAAATCCTCAATACAGGCTTTTTTCCAATCCCTCTCAAGATATTTTAGACATGGTACCCAGTTCTTCCGTGGATATTACTTCGTTGAGATTTCCGAAACCAGGAGTGGTCTGAAAATACCTTGAGTACGATGCTCTCTCCCTCTCACACTTCATCCTCTCTTGGTGAAAATGGATTCTTGAAACAAATCGACTCCATCTCAGACTAATGGGCCCGGTTATCTGTACGCCAATATTAGAAGTTAAGGTTTTATGACTGGTTTTGTTTGACAAAGGTTGCCTTGGATCATACACCGGCGCCGAACGGAATTACCCATCCGACCAAGATCTCACGCAACATCCAGTTATCTCTCAGGTCAAAGTGAGTATTAAATATACCTATCAAAAATCAAATGCCTAACTTGATTTAACGTACGTTTATCACGAACGGAAATGCGCAATAATTAAAGCACAGTTTCCTGAATTCCAGTCAAATTAAAAACAAATATCACAGTCCGTGCACGTATTCACATACATCGATATCGTGCCCAGTTTTTTGGGCCAGCTGGTTTAAGAAGCAGTATTGTACCAAGTGGTGTTAACTAGTTCCTCTTGTTGATATTACTGAAAAAAAAAAACGCCACAGGCTTTCAAAAGTTTCATAGTGTTTCTAAACTCCCCTTGATCCAAGTGCGAAAAATCGTTTTCTTTTTGTGCCAGTAATAGTCTGATTTCCGTTGATCCGTTTTGCGGATTCCTTTCCTTTTGAGTTTATTAAATGTCTCTTATAACTGTTAAATTAAAGTTTTAAATTTCGTTTATTTAATCTTGCACTCATGCCATTGGGTGACTTTGCAAGAATTCAGATGTAAATGTAAACGACGACAATTAATGATAAAGTGATGCACATTATAGAAACTATTTTTATCACATTTACGGAGCCTAATTGTGTTAACAAAGCTCCTGAGCTACTGGGTGTCTATTTGTAGTGATAAGCAAGAATAACTGATGTCTTGATGATTGCAATTAGTTTCAAATCGGGAGTCTGTTAGACTAATAATTATTTTCACCAGTAAAAGAAACAGACTGGGAAGTGATCCGTGTTCATCAGACAATTTTAGCAAAACACTCAAGAAATAAATTTGCATCAAAAAGGAGCTTGACCATTTCAGGTTGAAAGAAAACCAATATCGCCATTCTTTCTTAAGTGCCAACTGAACGACAACCGAGAATAAACCACACGGCACTGTGTTCAGTTGACTCGAACTGAACATGGGGCGCTCGAAGAAAATAGACGATCTTGTCTCTCGCTTCTCTGGCCTGCGCGAAAAGTGTGTAAAATCCGGCGAATCGATAGGGAACATCAGATTTGAATTCTTACGCGAGGTATATGACGTTCCGTCTAAGAAGAAGACGAGTAGTTTCTTTAACTGGAGCACGATTCTTTGGTACATAATCTTGCCTGCACTTGCCGTGTTCTGGAGCTATTCTTTTTTGGAAAACGTGTACGAACCCTGCCTCCTCGAACCCGATGTAGTGCTTTTAAACGACATATCACGCAAACCGAGTAAATGTTCGCTTCTCTGTGAGGGCGTGAATGAAATCCCCAGAGTTTCTAATCTATCAAAGGAGGAATTCATCGCCAAGTACGCATACAGTGGGAGGCCTGTGGTCATTACGGATGCTGCAAAGAACTGGTCTGCTGTGGGAAAGTTCAGCTTTCAGTTTTTTAAACGCCTTTACTCCAAAAACAAGGAGGCTGCTGAAGAAAATCCTGATATGGGTTGCACATTTTTCCCTTACAAATCTGGTTTCAATTCTCTGAAGGAAGCGCTGAGAATGCCAAAGTCAAGAGCGGAATGGAAAGGACAGCCCTGGTACATCGGCTGGTAAGTATTAGGCTTTTTTATTAAACAAAAAACTTGAAGAATAAAACTATTACGTTTTACTAACTTGCTGACAACCATAGCCTGTGTTTGCATATATGGCCAATACATAACTAATATCACAGATGGACATTTATTTTTATCATTTCACGATCATCATTATGTGCAAACTGCCGGACGTGCATATGCAATTCAGCGTCATGAATATAGTTAAGCAGTATCGTTGTGTTATCAGTTTGAAGGATTTATACGAAAACAAAGGAATACTTGCCTGAAAGAGTCGATCAAAACAATTCTGTCTTAATGGCGTGAGATAAACCTTGGTCAGTATCTTTTCAGTATCACCGTAGTTTGCACGGTAATAAAACAGTAAATCACCTTTCACGATATCATCAGTGTAACATCGTCACTCAGAGTATAGCATGGCCTTGTCCTACCACACCTAGATTATGCAGATATTGTCTGGGGTGACCAGCCTGGTCTTACAACACAAATGAAACAATTACAATCTTTTCAAAATCGCTTTGCGAAGAAGATCGTTAAGTCGAAAATGTCATCAGCAGAGGCTCTGACGTCGTTCCGGTGGGTGTCTTTACATGCGAGGCGGTTCGGTCATCGGTGTTGTGTTGTGCAAGATGCAATGAAAGGTAGCATCCCCAAACATTTCGGTGTATTCAGATCCACCATGAACCAACAACACGGTCATAATACTCGAAATGGCTACATGCCCAAAGTCAGTAGGCCAAGAACGGAATGGGGAAAAAGCAAAACATATTATAAAGCCATTAACGACTGGGCCACACTACCAAGT